TAAGGAGTAGTGGGAAAACCGTTTAATTTATTAGTAATGAAAAAGGAATTTTTTTTCTTTTCTTTTTAATTTATTACTTATTAGCAACAATTCAAATTTGTAATTATCCACAATAAACATGTATTTCACTACTTGGTAAAAATAAAAAACTCCCACTAGTAGTTAGTTTATAAAGTTTTTAGTAAATTGTAATTTTGCATCCGTTTTCTTGCTGCTTCGAAAAGTTCGTTAGGTCACAGTGGGGCAATTTGATGAGCTTGTCAACCAAGTTTCGAAATATATAAATGGGTTCCTTCCTTGGAAGGCTTTCAGGGCGAAAGATTATTATGAACATAGAATTGCAGTACATGAATCATGAGTTTGATGTTGAATGGCCGGTATGTTTCGTCGTCTTACTTTTTTCGTCATTTTTGAATTGCGATTTCGATAATTGTCCCGCATGTTTGCATAAAAGTTATAAAAAAGTTTTTTTTCATACATAAGGTACGAAATTGGAACTTTTTTTTTTCAAAACATAAAAGACCTTTTTGTTGCGAAAAAATGACTTTTTTGTAATCTTTTTGCAAACATACGGAATGAAAATAAAAACGTAATTCAAAGAGGAGAAAAATTAAGATAGTGAAACATCCAAAACTAAAATTACAATTCACTAACTTTTTATACTCAAATAAATTTACTTTGGTCAAAAAAAATAAAAATTTCTTAATCTTAGCTTCATATAAGAAATCATGCGGAATTTTCATTTCAGCTGATTTTTTAAACCAAGTTTGCCTAACTTTTATTATAATATTTTGTTGGCCAAACAATTAATTTATTAATAAAATACAATGACGTATATGGTGGGTTTTAAATTAGTCAATGAGCTGGCCGGGTCGAAGCACGTATGACAATCAATCCTGGCCCATGGGCCCTTCATTTTTGAAATCAAATGTTGAATAAAAAAAATATTATTTATTGCATGTTAATTTGTTGGAAAATTACATTTGCATACTTGTATTGATTTTACATTTTTTGAACTACTACATTTCTAAATAAAATTATGAAAGTCTATTACGTATTATGTTTCACTAATGATTTTGAATAACGATCTTAATTATTAGCATAATTCTTTTAAAAAATTAATATCATTCTACACAAGTATTCAACAAAATTTGAATGTAATAACTAATATTAGTAAAATGGGATTTTGAAAATATACATATCCCTCCCTATATATTGATTTAATACGTGTTGAACTTAAGTGGCATATTCTCACGCTTCGGATGTTGACATGACGAAAATCTATGCTTCATGGTATTTTTATATTATTTTTGCTCTGGAGTTAGGTTTAATTTTTGACATAAATAACTTTTATCATATATTTCTTAACTTAACACCTGTGTTGTACACGAGCATTATACTAGTATAGCTGATTTTACAAAATTAGATAATTATATGTGAGTTAAATTTTGACTAAGCATAACTTGTCCCATGCTCCAAAATTATCATTGTATTAGCTAAGCATGCTCATAAAATAAAATCTGCTCATTACAATGTCATTTCAATAAAGGCTTTTTTAATTATTTACCAAAGTTGAAGCATGCAGCTTTAATTGTCACACATTATTGTCATATAAAAATTTAATTAAATTAGTCATCAATATTACTCCTCTTTTTTTTTTTTAATTCCATTTCCAATCATAGTCCATTCAAAACACAACCTATATGAAATCAAATATAACTAATTCATCCATTTATGTATTTAAATTCCATTATAATTTTATTTATTTATTAATATTTATGTCAATGAATATTATTTACTTTCTTGATTTATTATAAATGTTTTTTTTTTTTAAATATTTCTATGTATTTTTATAAGACGTTTTTGGCGGAATAATAATTCAAAAAATATCACTAGCATCCATGAAACTTGCTGTAAATCTAATCTGTCAACTTTTTATAAATCATTGTCTTCTTTATCTATTTTATTTTTCAAATTTATTAAAAAGAAATAGAGTTTTTGGGGGTCCCTCAAATCTGAACCAGTTGGACAATCATGGTAGGAGACAAGCCAACCAGCTAGGTCCACGTGCCATAATTAACTAAACTAAAAAACATTCATTCTTATTTTTTGGTGATAAATAAGTAGTAGTAATTATCAAAATCAAATAACTAAAGTTGATATATTATATATACCACAAAGTATATAAAAATAATTTCATGTTGAAAGAGTTACAATAGAAATATTATCTATTATTTTAACATAATGTGATATGAAAATAATTATGAATTGCAGACGGAATATAAAATTCAATTGTATATTGAGTTTTGGTGTTCAATTTTCACTCATAGTTGAAGAGTGGATATAGTACGTAGAGTGCGCTCTACTGTATTAGAACACGGAATGATTGTAAATTTTTCAATCTATGTTGCAACACCAGAATAAGTTGAACCGGTTAGGTCAATTTTACAATGTGTGTGAAATAATGTATCGTGAAGTGAGATACTATTAAGTTGGATAAGATAGACGAGTCGATCAATCATAAATTGTAAATAAAAATATATATATTTATGATGCGAATATCATATATTTATTTATATTATTTTTTATAATGTAATATTTTAATATGTGACTATGAGTCTATGACACTGTACATACAGAAGAAATAAAATAAAAATGATGTAACTGCTGGTAGACTAACAACACTCCACATGGATTTGAGAATGATCTTTGAGTTGTGATTTTCAAGTGTTTGGGCCCAAATTTGGGAACTGCGAAAGGGACCGAAGATGGTTTTTGTCGTCCATACTTTAAGCTGTCCTATCTTTTCTAGACAGGCCCATTTACAAGATCTTTATGTGGCTCTTCAAGGAAATTACAAATTCAATTATTATTATTATTATTATTATTATTATTATTATTATTATTATTATTATTATTATTAATATCAATTTAAAGTATTGTACCTAAAACAAGTCTACACATCGGAAAAATTTCACTTCATTCGTGAGTAATGCCCCAAAAGAGGGCTTAGCCATCGAATCAACACACACTCGTATGCTTGTTTGTGATCAGATGGTCAAAACCCTAGTGAGGTTTATGGAGTTTTATTCATTTGTACCTATATTTTTCGAAGAAGCGGTAAATATGTGGGTGAGCAAAATCGAGTTGAAACATAAAATTGAGTTAAATTATGTAATTGTGTACAGTTTGATACTATTCGTTTTTTTATTCTTTTTTGTTTATTAAGTGAACATTGACAGTTTTGACTCGATTCAATACTTGCTACCCGGTTTAGTTATTATATTTCATAAGTTGGTTTTCGTTTTTTCATCTCGGTGTGGTTTTGCACAGAATCGTACTAAATATATAGTAAGACAAAAAAAAGTCCGAGCTGCACCCTACATCTCCGTTAGTGCTGTTAAATTAAACGAGCCTGGCTCGACTCGGCTCGAGCTCGGCTTGTTAAGGCTCGATTCGGCTCGAGCTCGAAGCCTTAACGAACCGAGCTCGAGCTCATTTAAAGCTCGTTTGGTTAACGAGCCGAGCTCGGCTCGGCTCGATAAGGCTCGAAATGTGAAATTTATGTAATTTTTTATAGTTTGGCTTGTTAAAGCTCGAGATCGGCTCGTTAAGGCTCGAGCTCGAGGCCTTAACGAGCCAAGCTCGAGCTTGATTTTTGGCTCGTTTACTTAACGAGCCGAGCTCGGCTCGGCTCGTTAAGAGCTCGAGCTCGAGCTCAAACACCATAAGCTCGAGCTCGGCTCGGCTCGTTTACAGCCCTAATCTCCGTGTGGTTCGGTTCGACTATTCTAGTACATAATATTTTTTATTCGACTTCAGTTCGACTTTTTCCTATATTGTCTTCAATTCCATTGCCTTTTTCAACTAAGTTCAATTTTTCAAATTTTCACCATTAACTGCAGTTTTGAACCAAACCACTTTTTATGGACTGAGAACTGAAATGGTATTGACTCCATAGTTAAATAATCAAACCCACTTATGTATACTCCAAAAATAGCCCATTTAAAACATTCGGTAAAGGCCCAGCCCACAAAGAAGATCACCATCTAATCCAACGGTCAACGTGCTTTCTTCCCCAAATCCTTATCACCACCAATCCATGTCCCTCGTGACCTCGCTCAAACCTCTCCTACCAGTCAAAGACCAAAACCAACCAACCAGTTCTTAACCTAACAGAGCTTAAAACACAACAATCAATTTTCAAAATCATTAATTATGTGTTCCAATTATACCCTGGGCCGTACAGTTTTGTACTGATTTTCGTTGATTTTATCTCTTGTCGGGCAGCTGGTCGAGGTAATCTTCTGCAATGGAGGCGTTGATTTTTCCCGCTATGCATCTCAATCCTCAGCTCAGTCGGCCAAGCTTTCTTAACCGCTCAAGTGATGGGGTCAGTGTGCTTTGTTTTCTCGGAGTAATTTTGCTTTTCTTTGGCCAAAAATGGTGTTTTAAGCTTCTTTTTTTTGGCCCTGTGTTTGGGTTATGAGGAGGAGCTGAGGTATGTGTGTGTGTGAGATAACACATAAAAAATCGATCATTTTTGCAGGGTCCTTTTCATTTTGAGTGTCTTGAGGTTAATGTGAACTCTGGCTGATCATATCTAGATTTGAGGTTATGTGTATATCACAATCTACAAGGGTTTTAGATTTAATTGAGTAATTAGCAGGCTATTTTTCTTGTTTCTCCATTTAGTATTTGCTCTAGAAGATTATGGGTTGTTTAAGTACCAAAATTTGTGCTGTTCTTTTCATATCTCACATAATCTACCTCATGAGAGTGAAAAAAACCACATGAACTTGTCTGAAACATATGTTTAGCTGCTTATCTTGATAGCATTTTGTTGCATGATCATACATAGGTAATCGGCAAACTCAATTTAGTGATCTCCGGAAAAATTGGGCCACCGGCAAACTCTCTACTTTGTTCATACGGTCCGACTTCACGGTACACACACTTTAGTCTTTCATAAGTTCACTCTCTCTTTCCGTATTTATATCCTCATCATTATCGAAAAAGGTCGAGCATTTAACAGTTTAAATGCATTCCATTCAGACAGCGTTCGACCACATCACGCCACGTGGCGAGAGAAGATTCTGGTGGGTCTCTTAGTGGTGAAAGCATCCTTCTGAACGAGCAAACCCTCGAGCGGGAGCTCCAGGTGGCAATTGACCAAGAAAATTATACTCAGGCAGCAAAAATCAGGGACAGTCTCAAAATACTCCAGGAGGACAGCAAAACCTCGGTTCTTGCAGCAAATGCTAGGTTTTACAATTCCTTCCGGAAGGGTGACCTGGCGGCATTGCAGGCCATCTGGTCCAAGGGCCCACACGCTTGCGTGGTCCACCCGGGCGTGAGTGGAATATCGGGCTACGATCTTGTAATGGGTAGTTGGGAGTTTGTGTGGGCCGATTACGAGTTTCCATTGGAAATCGAGATTAAAGATGTGGAAGTTCATGTAAAGGGAGATATGGGATTTGTCACGTGTATCGAGATGGTTCGGACGAAAGGGAGCGGTTGGGGAAGGCATTTCGCGACGAATATTTTCGAGAGGGTCGATGATCGGTGGCTCATTTGTGTTCACCACGCCTCGTACGTTGATCTGTGAAGAAAAAAGGTT